CGTGATGTATTTTTGTAATCTTGGTACGGTCTAGATAAAGTATTTTTGTAATTTATTTTATTTTATTTAAGTAGTAGATAGAATAGAATAGCATTACAGGTTGCAGTTAATCCAAGAAGCCCGTGAAGTGAAGGCCCAAAGGAGCAAGGTGGATAAGATCCATGAAGGTTCAAGTGGGAGCTTTTGCTTTATTAGTTTTCTTAGGATTAGGGGGCCATGCTATGTCTTGTTTATGCATTCAGTTTATTATGCATGTTAGATTTTATTGATGTTTTGTGATGATGCGTTAGAGTTCACTAAATAATCACAACATAATAAATCTAGGTCCCAGTAATATTGAGGTAGCTTTTCCAATCAAAAACCCGATGAAACCTTCGATAATTATGATGGGTCATGCTAAAGCTGGGTGTCATAGTATATCTTAGGGGAGTGGGGGTAAAACAAATTATACACTTTTGATTGGTTATACTCAACAAGGTTACCTAAAGAGTTTAGAACCTTGAAGCTAAGGGTAATAATTAAACATGTGATGGGTAATTATTCAACCAAGAATTACAAAGAGTTGTAATCAGTAAAGAGTTTACTCACCTTGAAAATGTAATGGTTGATGGTAGGGCTAAAGTCCGGTCAATTATTGCACAAATAAAGGATCTTGGAATCATTTTATTCAATAGGGATCAATTAAAATTGAATGAATGCTTTAAAGTTTCCAATTTAATTCGCTTATGGCACTTTAAATTTTTATTAAATATAATTGAATTTTGCGTTTACTTACAAGTAACATGTCGTTCTAATTTTATTATTATATATAATCTCCTCGATTGAAAATAAAGTTGAGAAACGTTCTCAAAAGGTTAAAAGATAATCCATAAACCTATATTCCAATTTTGATAAGATGGTTCTAAAAGGCAAGTTATTAGAAATCCATGTCACATGTCTAAGGTTGGTTCCATTCAAAATGTTTGAGTAAAATGCCAACACATCTTCATTTTGAAAAGTGTTTCAAGGGATATAATGAGATGGGAGGTACAAACCCTCTAAAACACAAGTATAGAAGTCCAATAAAATCTCTTATCTTCAATATGATTGAATATAAGAAAGTGATTGGAAATCTCTATGATCAAAAGTTGATCAAATGACATTATTCTTCATCCATTTCATATAGAGTTAAATGGTTGATTAAACTCTAATATGAATAATGATTGAATAGACTTAACAAAATCATGAAAAGTGCTTAAAGAAGTTAATCAAAGCATCATTTTGAACCTAAGAGAAGTGTTCTAAGAGGCTCAAATGGGAAAGGTTTAGGAATATATGAGGATTGCATTAAGAAGTTATGGGCCAAGAAATGCAAACAAGTTGCTACTTCTCAAACCTAGAACTACTTACATGCTAAAAGTTGTTATGAACAACAAATGTTTCAAATTAAATGGACCAATCCCAATTGATTAGAAACTACCTCATATAGTTGGAAGGTAAAAGAATGGAAATGTTCCAATTTAAGAAGTATATTATAGAAATTGATTTAGCACATTACTACTTCTTGGACATATGATATTGATAACTTGCTATTTGATATGATTTTAGGGTGTTTTGAACCTAGTTTACTTGATAAAAATTGCGTTTTGGTTCATTTTTACTCTATTTTTATGCAATTTTTGTGTATCCTATGCTTCACGGGTTGTTGGTGTTTTTGTTGAGATTCTAGGTTCAAAAGAACGACCAAATGGAGCCCATGGATACAAAGCCGAGGTTAGAAGCAAGAAGATGGTTGAAAGAAGCCAAGGAAAGGAGCAATATAGAAGAAAAGATGAAAAAAAAGGGCTTAGAAGACCCTGCACGGCCGTGCTAGACCTTGCACGTCCGTGCAGGAGGTTCCAGAAAGTTTCAGCAAGCTGCCAAGGCCTGCACGGACGTGCCAAATTAAGCACGTCCGTGCAGATGTAGCTGCACGGCCGTGCCAGACCTTGCACGTCCGTGCAGGAGTGCTCTAGAAACTTAGAACATTCTGCCAAGGCCTGCACGGACGTGCCAAATTAAGCACGTCCGTGCAGATGTAGCTGCACGTCCGTGCCAATATCTGCACGTCCGTGCGGAGCTGCTCGATTCTTAGCAGTACGTTATGCCCCCTCTGCATTTCCATGCCGAATCTGGCACGACCGTGCTTATGCTTGCACGTCCGTGCCGAATCTAGAACGTCCGTGCAGACCTGCATTCGAACTCCTTCCTTGTTTTCTCCGTCCTTTTTATTTGGGGGTCATATAAATACCCCTTTAGAGCTCATTTGATGGGAGGCAGTTTTTTTTAGAGCTTTCCTCTTAGTTTGTAGTCTTAGAACATTAAATTCTCAAATCATTAGTTAGTTCTCAATTATTAGCTTGGAAACATTCAAATTCAATCATTGTAGAAGACAAATCCACCATTGTTGCTCACCTTGAAGCTTCATAGTAACCATTTCTTACTCATCTTTTCTACTTCTCTTCACTTTGTTGTTAATTATTTGCTAGTTCTTGCATGTTTAGATTGTTAATTAGCTTCATCCTTAGTTTGAACTTGTTCATGAATTACTTGAAATCTTTAATTGCTTTAACCTCCATGGATTGTGAGTAGTCTAAATTCTAGGGTTTGGGTAAACCCTCAATGTAGTCACTAATTACTTGTTGCATGTGTTAATTTGGTTGTTGTGGGATGTTAATTAGTTGAGCTTAAGTGGTTTAAATGCTTAGTTCTTGTATATGGCCATTGCTAGAACTATTTATCCAAGCTTTCTCAACGAAGGATCGAGAGATGAACTTGAGTTAGCTCCCTTATGCTTGATTGACCCGAAATGCCATGAGAATAGGGATTACCGGTCAAGGGAATGTTTATGTCGTCCTGATTATGCTTTAACACTTGTTTTATGCTATGTAACCACGAGAGTAGGTTGTATTCATGATTCAAGTAATCCCTCTAGCTTGAGAGAGTAGTTGGGTGCTTTAGATGACTTCCCCTAATTTATCCCATTAATTTACCTTGATTGATTGCATGCTAATTGTGATTTGTGATGAAATCGAGTGGTATAACCCAAGCCCTAGATTCCTTTTAATTTTGTTAATCTCCTCTTAGCTTTAGTTGAATTGAATTAGAAGAAGTTACTCAAAACCAACCCAATTTAGAATTCATTTAGCTTATTTAAACGGTAGTACTTGGTGGTTGATTCAACGCCTCTCTTGGGTTCGACCCTTTCTTACCCTTACTATTGTTAGTGAGACCAAGATAGGAATCATTATCTTTGGTAGGCTCGACGACGGCCTATCAAATTTTGGCGCCGTTGCCGGGGAGGCAAAGTCACATTGAATGTATTATTGTTGAATGAGACTAGATGTGTGTATATGTATAGTAGTTTTCTTACCTTAATTTTTGTTTATGTGTGTTTAGCTTGCGATAGTCATTGCTAACGTTTTTCTTAGCTTTGTTTGACTTTGCATGACACGAAAGAGTAAGAAATCACCGCTTATTCCCGTTGATCCAGAGCTAAATAGGACTTTGAGAAACGTGAGGAGACTCTTGCAAGGCACACCCGAGTTTTCCATTGTATATTCGGATTCCGATCCGGAAGAGGTTTTTGGAGCTAACGAAGAAGATAACATGGGAGAGAATCCTCCTCAACCATTGTTAACAGACTATGACCACCCCAACGCATTCCAACTTCGTAGTGGCATACGTCTTCCCACCACAAATGCAAACAACTTTGAACTTTCACCTCAACTCATCTGTATGATTCAAAGCGATCAATTCGGAGGTAGTCCTGATGAGTCTCCTTTTGCTCATTTGGATAACTTTCTTGAGTTGTGTACAACCATCAAGCAAAACAACATTTCGGAAGAGTTCATCCGTATGCACATGTTTCAATTCTCCCTCCGGGATAAAGCAAAACATTGGTTGAGAACGGTTGAAGAGGGATCATTGAGTACATGGGACGAAGTCACTAGAGCCTTTCTTGGAAAGTATTGTCCTCCGGAAAAGACCGCCGAATTAAGAAGAAAGATCACCAATTTCAATCAAGACATTGATGAAACATTGAGTGAAGCTTGGGAGCGTTTTAAAGATTACACAAGGAAATGCCCCCACCATGGTTTTACATCATGGATCATTGTACAAAGCTTCTATGACGGTCTTACTCCTATTTCAAGGGCCAACCTTGATTCCGGGGCCGGTGGTAGCCTCAAAAAGCTATCGGTGGACGATGCATACAAGATGATTGAAGAAGTGGCCAAGCATTATGCATATGGAGGTGATAGAAGGCAACCTCAAACAAAGAAGGGCGGAATCCATGATCTTAGTGCAATAGATCTTATTACATCAAAGTTTGATATGCTAGCTCACAAGCTAGATCAAGCCACCCTCACACCCTCAAGCTCTTCCTCGCAAGTCATGTCTTGTGAGACTTGTGGAGGAAATGATCACTTGTCCTCTTATTGCAACTCAACGAATCAAGAGCAAGCGGCGGCAATTGCGCAAAGGAATGAACAATACTCCCAATCCCACAATCAAAGTTAGAAGCCCCAACAAAACACGGGATGGAAGCAATACAACCAAGGCCCCCCACAAATAACTACAACCAAAATCAAACCCAACCTCAAAACCACTACAACCAACCTCAATCTCAAAACCAACAAGCTCCATACCGCCATCCCAACCAAAGGGATCAAAACCACCAAAGATCACAATATAACCAACCCGCTCCTCCTCCTCCACCTCCTCAAAAGACTAGCCTTGAGTCCGTTCTTGAAACTTTCATGACTCAACAAATAAGGAACAATGCGGAGATGAATGCAAACATCCAAAAACTCCAAGCACATAATAAGATAATGGAGGGCCAATTGGCTCAAATTGCACAACAAGTTGGAAGTTCATCCTCCAATCCTAGTGGTCACTTTCCAAGCTCAACGGTAGTGAACCCAAAGGAGCAAGCTAAGGCTATCACTTAGAGATCGGGAAGGGGTTATGAGGGCCCGGTTATGAGTGAAGAGGAGCCACAAAAGAGAGATGAGGGAGTTGTGGTGAGAAGTGAGGATGATTTTGAAAATGAAGTAGTTGAAGTTGAGAGAAAAGAGCAAAAGAGTGATGAGGGAGCCACAAAGAAAGACGAGGGAGATGAAGAAAGAATAGAAAAGCCCCCTATGAGAGTATATAAGCCCCCCATTCCGTTTCCTCATAGAATTGTAGAGAAGAAGTTGAATGAGAAGTTTTCAAAATTTCTTGAAGTCATGAGAGGACTTCAAGTGAACATCCCCTTTCTTCATGCTATGTCACAAATGCCTACCTATGCAAAATTTTTGAAGGATCTTCTATCCAACAAGAGTAGGCTTGAAGAGAGTGCAACCATCTCCCTTCCTAAGGAGGTGAGTGCAATCATCCAAAACAAGCTTCCCCAAAAGCTTGGTGACCCCGGTAGCTATGCAATACCGGTGAAGATTGGAGATTTGGAAGCTATGGATGCTTTATGTGATCTTGGGGCAAGTGTGAGCTTGATGCCCTATTCTATTGCAAAGACCTTGAAAGTTGGATACTTGAAACCAACAAGAATGTCCTTACAACTAGCCGACCGCACGGTTAGGCTACCTTTGGGGATTCTTGAAGATGTGCCAGTTCAAGTTGGAAGAGTATTTATGCCGTGTGATTTTGTAGTAATGGAGATGGAAGAAGATTCAAGAATACCCCTCATTTTGGGGAGACCATTTTTGAACACCGCGGGAGTAGTGATTGATATGAAGGAAGGAAGATTGACTTTGAATGTGGGAGATGAGAAAATTTCATTTTCATTCTCACAAACTTTAAAAAAGCCATTGATTGTTGAAGTTCATAGAATTGACACATTGGAGAGGGACTTAGAAGAGTTCCGAGAAAGATTGTATGAAAGAGATCCTTTACAAGCTACCTTAACGGGAAGCTTTTGAGGAGGGTGAAGAAGCAAAGGGGTATGATCTCTTGCTCAACCAACCTTTGGCCCACGAGGTGATAAAATTTGAAGTGCTTAACGTGAAGGCAAAAGAGGAGAGGACTATGCCTCCTCCTAAGGTTGAACTTAAACCCCTTCCCCCTCTACTTAAATATGCTTTTCTTGATGATAGTGAGAATTATCCCGTTATTGTCAATGCTAAGCTCGATGACACCTCTCTTGAGAAACTCCTAGTTGTTTTAAGGAAGTATAGAGATGTCATTGGGTACAAAATTGATGACATTAAGGGGATAAGTCCCACCATATGCATGCATAAAATTCTACTTGATGATGATCATGCTTCCTCGATTGAGCACCAAAGAAGGCTCAATCCCAATATGAAGGAAGTGGTAAAAAAGGAAGTTTTAAAACTTCTTGAGGCGGGCATAATCTACCCTATCTCCGATAGTAAGTGGGTTAGCCCGGTTCAAGTTGTGCCTAAAAAGGGAGGCATGACCATCATCAAAAATGATAAGGGTGAGACCATTTCTACGAGGTCGGTCACCGGGTGGAGGATGTGCATTGATTATCGAAAATTGAATAAATCCACCCGGAAAGACCACTTCCCACTCCCCTTCATTGATCAAATATTGGAAAGACTAGCATCACATAGTCATTATTGCTTCTTGGATGGATACGCGGGATTCTTTCAAATTCCAATCCACCCCGAGGACCAAGAAAAGACTACATTCACATGTCCTTTTGGCACCTTCGCATATCGAAGAATGCCATTTGGGCTTTGTAATGCACCTTCCACATTTCAAAGGTGTATGATTTCTATTTTTTCCGACATGCTTGAATCATCAATTGAGGTATTCATGGATGACTTTTCTGTTTTTGGTTCATCTTTTGACACTTGTCTTTCAAACTTGATTAAAGTGTTAAAAAGATGTCAAGAGGTGAACTTAGTTTTGAATTGGGAGAAATGTCATTTCATGGTAGAGGAGGGAATTGTTCTTGGTCATGTGATTTTTAGTAGGGGAATTGAGGTAGATCGTGCCAAGATTGAAGTAATTGAGCGCCTCCCACCCCCTACAAATGTGAAGGGGATAAGGAGCTTTCTTGGACATGCGGGTTTTTACCGCTGGTTCATAAAGGATTTTTCAAAAATCGCAAAGCCGCTCACTCAATTGTTGGTAAAAGATGCCCCTTTTGTGTTTACTAATGATTGTTTGCTAGCATTTGATAGGTTGAAGGAGGCCTTGATTTCGGCTCCTATAATTCAACCCCCTAATTGGGAACTTCCTTTCGAGCTTATGTGTGATGCTTCGGATTTTGCCGTTGGGTCTGTTCTTGAACAAAGGAAGGAAAAGAAGCTCCATGCTATCTATTATACTAGCAAAACATTGGATGAGGCACAAAGGAATTACACAACCACGGAAAAGGAGTTTCTAGCCATTGTTCATGCAATTGAGAAGTTTAGGTCCTACTTGTTGGGCTCTAAGGTCATAGTCTTCACCGACCATGCGGCCTTGAAATACCTCTTGTCTAAGAAGGAACCTAAGCCAAGATTGATACGGTGGGTCTTGCTCTTGCAAGATTATGATATTGAGATTAGAGACAAGAAGGGTGCCGAAAATGTTGTGGCCGATCATCTTTCACGGTTGCCTATCTTTGTAGGTGATCTTGATAACTTGCCAATTGATGATTCATTTCCGGATGATCGACTATTTGCTATCCTTCAAGTACCGGCACCATGGTTTGTGGACATTGCAAACTACTTGTCTTGCTCTATTCTTCCTCCCGACCTCACCCATCAACAAAAAAGGAAGTTTCTTCATGATATTCGCCAATACTTTTGGGACGACCCATTGCTCTTTAAACAAGGTGTTGATGACCTTTTTAGAAGGTGTGTCCCGGATGATGAAATTGAAAGTGTTATCACAATGTGTCACTCATCACCTTGTGGAGGACATATGAGTGCTAACAAAACTCTGGTAAAGATCTTACAATGTGGTTTCTATTGGCCTTCCATGTTCAAAGATGTGTGGGGTGTAGTGAAAGCTTGTGACCGGTGTCAAAGAACCGGCAATATTTCAAGAAGAAGTGAAATGCCATTGAACAACATTCTTGAGTTGGAGATTTTTGATGTATGGGGCATAGATTTTATGGGGCCTTTCCCAACCTCTTTTGGGAATAAATTCATTCTTGTGGCCGTCGATTACGTGTCAAAGTGGGTAGAAGCGGTTGCATCTCCTACTAATGATGCTAAGGTGGTGGTCAAACTCTTCAAGAAGGTCATTTTTCCGAGGTTTGGGGTGCCACGTGCCGTCATTAGTGATGGAGGTTCGCATTTTGCAAAGCGGTCCTTCCAAGCTCTTCTTCAGAAGTACGGTGTGAGGCACAAGGTGTCATTGGCTTACCACCCTCAAACAAGTGGTCAAGCCGAAATTTCAAACCGGGAGATAAAGGTGATCTTAGAGAAGACGGTGGATAGGTCTAGAAAGGATTGGTCTACGAAGCTAGATGATTCTCTATGGGCCTACCGCACCGCATTCAAGACTCCCATTGGCACCACCCCTTACAAGCTAGTATATGGGAAATCATGCCATTTACCGGTAGAACTTGAGCATCGTGCTCATTGGGCTATTAAAACGTTGAACTTTGACCTTCAAAGTGCCGGTGAAAAGAGGTTACTTGACCTCCATGCCTTGGAAGAGCTAAGATTGGATTCATATGAGAATGCACGGATCTACAAGGAAAAGACCAAGGCTTGGCATGACAAGCATATCAACAAAAGAGAGTTCAAGGAAGGTGACAAGGTCCTACTATTCAATTCCCGGTTGAAGTTGTTTCCGGGTAAGCTAAAATCAAGATGGAGTGGACCTTTTACCGTCAAGAAGGTGTTCCCATATGGTGCAATCGAAATTGCCAAAGAGAATGGTGAACCGTTCAAAGTAAATGGCCAAAGGCTAAAAGCGTACTTTGACGGTTTTGTGAATGAAGAGGCAAAAGTTGTTCACCTTGATGAGTTCGATATTCCTCACTAACATTTGATCCCGCAATGTCGTCAAGCTAGTGACGTTAAAGAAGCGCTACCGGGAGGCAACCCGAGTTCCTCACTCCCCCTCAATTATTATTTATTCATTTGTTTTATTTTTATTATTATTACCCCTTTTTCTTTTATTTATATATATATATATATTTTTTTTTGTAGGTATCTATAAAAAAAATAAAAAAAAAATAAAAAAAGGGGGGGAAAGAAGAAGAAATCGTGCACCATCAGGTATGCACGGACGTGCAGAACATCGCACGTCCGTGCAGACGAAGGCAGAACCTGACTGGTGAAATCTGAAGCTTCGCACGTCCGTGCCAAAAATAAGCACGTCCGTGCCAACCACTGCACGTCCGTGCACTCGAAGACAGAACAGATTGCCATTCTGCCAGGAATCTGCACGTCCGTGCCAAAATCAGCACGTCCGTGCAGATTCAACCTGCACAGCAATATGACGGTTTCTACTAAAAAATAAAAAAAAATAAAAAAATTATAATAGCAAAGACCCCCCCCCCCATACTCACAATTCTCACTCCTCTTTCACACTCAAACACTCCTTCCTCCTCCATACTCCATACTCCATACTTCATACTACTCCTATTTCTCACCCTTCAAACTCCATTTTTCACTTAAATCCCAGCTCTAAACTACAAATTTCACTCCTCTTTCAACATTCTTCACAAACTACTACCCCTTTTCACCATCAAAACCCCAAAGTACCAAAATTTTCTCAAACCCTAACTTTCAAAATTGATTTGGGGGTTTCTTGAATTTTGATTCTTTAAGCAAATTGGGTGAACAAGGACCATCAATCAACAACAAGGAGTACTAGAAAGGTTCATTTGCGGGTTCTACACCCACGACATTCTTGGTATAATCTTTCCAATCTCAAGCTCTTCCTTTATGGTTTAAATACTTGTTGGTTGATATTATGAGTAGTAATAGTTGAAATTGTTGACATTTTGTTAAGTAATTGTGATTGTTGTTAGTTTAGTAGTATAAAAGAAAAAAAAAATTTGCGTGAATTGTGAGCATTGAAATTTTGGTTGGTGATAGGTTTGTGTGAGTATGGATGCTTTTGGTGTTGGATTGTTGATTTGTTGTCGGTAAATTGTGCACATTGACAATTTTGGTGTTTGATTGTTTGAATTGATAAGATCATTGTTGGTAATTTTCAATTTTCGGGCTTGTTCTTTTTGTGTGTTGGTTAGGTGGAAGACTTAGAGCCTTGTGTGTTCAAATACTTGTTCATTAGGTGTTGTGCTTGCTTGAAGTGTTCTAAGAAAAATTTTGATCATGTCAAGAAGAAACCAACCAAGAAACACCTCATCCGCTAGGCTTAGAAACCCTCCACCTCTATCAACCGTCGAACCACCACAAGTGGACACCTTAGGTATTGTCTTTAATAATTCGGATTTCATGGACAACTACCTAAGAATTAGTAGGAGAAGAATTTGGCCAACGAAATTTTACAACCATGAGGTAGCCGAAGCCTTAGGTGTAGAGAATGATGTGAGACAACTTTTTTTTCAAACCGGTGTCTCAAATTGGTTAGAAATGCATGCTAACACCTATAAACGGCTTACCTTAGAATTCCTCTCCTCACTATATGTCCACCGAGATAACCGCAACAACCCCCGTTACCTGACCTTCCAATTGATGAACACCCATCACAAGATGACCATAGAACAAGTAAATCAAGCATTTGGGTGGCCAACGGATGGCAAATTTGGACCTAAGGATAAGCCTTCCCGAAAACATAACCCGGGATCTTTTTGGAGAAAAATCACCGGCCTATTTACTAGAGATCCTAGGACCGACAAGGCCACGGCCATAGTACACCCCGCCTTTAGACTATCCCAGCGCCTAATAGCTAATACTATTTTTGCTAGGGGGGATAGTTCGGGTGTAGTTTCTAACCGTGAGTTGCTTTTTCTTTGGCACTTGAGTGAGGGTGACGAGAG